CTCCAGTGGGAATTGAACTTGTACTCAACCGCTTGGGGATGTGACAACTTCACCACTTCACTAAGTCGCCACACCCTAAATTAATTAATTTATAAAATATAAAAAATTTATAAAAATTTAAGTTTTAATAATTTACCTTTTGTTGCTTGTTTTTTATTAAAATAAACTTGAACTGAATCTTGTAAAGATGAAAGTTTTCCTTTTCTTTTTTTAGAATTTTGTTTCTAAATCAATTGATTGCTAATTAATAATTAATAATATTAATTTAAATATAAATATAAATATAAATTAAATATAGATAAAAATAAAAATATACCTCATATATAAATAAAATTTTTAATGTATTTTCAGTTCCTAAATCTAAAATTACTTTATACTTGGTTAAATCAAGTGCATATCCACTAAAATCACCAATATAATATTTTTAATCTAAGTTTAAATTTAATTATAATAAATTTAAATTAATAAACTTTAATATATTTTATTAAAATATTAAATATATTTTAAAATTATCTCATTTTTAAACAAATCAAATAATGAAATTGATACAATATCTAAACTTTCTGATACATCAAATTTAGTTTTAATAGCTTTTGCATTGCTATCAATAACTCCTTTACCAGATCGAGAACTAAATCGTATTGGTTTAACAATAAGATCCTATATAATATATAATTTTTAAAAATTATAATTATATTTAAATTAATTAAAAAAATTAAAATTTAATTACCTTTTGATCTTTAATCTGATTATTTTTATTTTTACGAATAATATTACTACGAATAACATTATGAGTTTCAAGTTGATTTTTAAATCTTTGATTAAAATCTTTAGATTTTTCTTTTTCGATTAAATCTTTAATAATTTGGTCTTCATTATTGTGTCTTCTAATATTTGCAATACTTGGTGATTCTGCTTTAATTGCAATTCCATAATTATGACAAAAATTTGCATTTTGAATAAGATTTGAATTACATTGGTACAAGAAACTTGGTTGCTACAATTTGAGCAAAATTTTGCTTCAATTAGTAAAGAAAAATTGCATTTAAAACACTTCATCTAATAAATAATTAAATATTAGTATTAATATAATAATTAATATAAAATATTTTAAAATATAAATTATAAATTTTATAAATAAACTGCTTTTTAATTAAAAAATTATATTTTATAATTATATAATTAGATAACAACTAGATAGTTATATAGATAGCAATAATCTAAAAATTTTATTAAAAATATTATTTTGCAAACTAATAAATAAATTAAAAATAATTTTAAATATAAAATAGCTAATTGCTTATTTCTACTTAGAAAATATTTAAATACAATTACTATAATAATTGTTACAATAAAGCTAAACTTTGATTATATTTATTTTATATAATCAAAGTTTAATTTTCTTAATATTATTTATATTACTTAAATAACAGCAAAAATCTAAAGTCTGTTAAGTTTTTTAAAATTATCTATTTTTTATATTCTTTGTTTTTAAATATATACTACAGTAAGACCTTCCTATATGCACTCCTCTCAGGACCATAGTTAAAAAAAGCAGAACTTGCACTTAAAGAG